GGAAGGACAGGATGATAGAGAGTGAATAATATTGGAATACATCACGTCTGTCTAGGAACAAAATACAGCAAAATTCAAAAAACTGTTGAACAGTACAGGTTAGAGGAAACGTGTAAGGAAAAGTAATAGAGGGAGTTAGATTGATTAAATCACAATACATTTACAGATGAAATACCAAAGCAAAACCCCAGTGAACAATGAACAGACACTTAAACAACGAAGGACAGGAATGTAAAACAAGTCATAATAAATAGAGGGCACTATTGGAAGGGGGAGAGTAAAGGAGGGTAAATATGGCTGATGTATTTTCTACACATGCATGATTATGGAGCATTGAAACATCTGGAAATCATTTTAAGAAAGGGAAGTAAGAAAAGGGAGAATGGAGGAGATGAATCAAACTGGGGTATATTGTTCTCATATACAGAAATGTCAAAAACGAAACCTCCTATACACCTACTAAATGCTAATAAAAATGTTTTTCAAAAAGTTTTGAAAGGAACTCAACCCCATTTTGAATTGTCCAAATTCTTGAATAATTTGAAATTATCTTTGGAGACCTAGCTTACAGCTAGAAACACAGGAAAAGTTCTCTTTAAAAGAAAAAGAAACACTTAAAAAAGTCTTGAATTGTCATTCAAATTTTTTCATACACAAACACTGACACTCAAGAAAATATTTTAAAAGTATAAAGCCAGAAAATGTTGGCTCACGCCTATAATCCTAGCTACGCAGGAGGCAGAGATCAGGAGGGTCACTGTTCAAAGCTAGCCTGGGCAAATAGTTTGCAAGACCCTATTTCAGCAAAAACCCTTCACAAAAAGGGCTGGTAGAGTGGCTCAAGGTGTAGGCCCTGAGTTAAAACCCAAGCACTGCAAAATAAGTAAATAAAAAGTACAGAAGACAAAGCAAGATTCAAAGGTAACAGCAATAAAAACAAATATTGCCGATATAGATAAAGGGAGCTGTAGAGTAGATATACTGAAATCACAATATGGTAATATATTCAATTTTGAAGATTAAAACATTAAAATATACAGTAACTGAAATGTATTAAATGTATTTAATAGTAGATTAACAACAGATAAATGAAGATTTGGTGAATTGGAAGAAATATTACAAAAAACAGGCATACAAAGAAGAAAGAAAGAAAATAAATTCAGGGCATAGTACTAAGGAAGTAAAACTTTTTTAAAAAAGGCTAGAGACATAGCACAGTGGTAAAGCAGTACTTTTCTAGCACACAAAGTTCAAAAATTTTATTTCCAACAACCACAATAAGTAATTAAGCACAATCAATTAATTTATTAATAAAAATCACCTGATTATATTTAATTTAATTATAATTTCAGAAAAAGAATAGACAAAATATTTGAAGATATGATTAATTTTTCTCTAGCAGTTGAAAGATAACCTGTGAATTCATGAGATGTTAAATTTTCAAGAATAAAATGTTAAAATAAGTTTTGCAAAAATATAAGTAAGCCCAACAAAACCAAACAAAAAAGGAAATGTAATATTAAGAGTATATTGCATTCAGGAAAACAATGCTAAGAATGACAATCTACTTCTGAAAAGCAAGTGGTAAAAACCAAAGATAAAGATTTAGTCAGTACTAAATGAAAATAAGTATCAATATAGAATTAAATACCAATTTAACACCTTACAGAAATGAGACAAAATGTACTCAACCAAGCCATGCTTTCTAGAAATCTACAAAATGATATTCAGGAAGAGGAAAAAAATTTGAAATGTAAAAGTGCAAAGCAAGAATGTATGGAGGCTGATTATGAAGTTCAGATGTACAGGACCTGATTAGCATACACAGGCACTGAATTGGATGCTAACACCAACAAACAAAAATAAAAAAGGAAGAAAAGGTAATGGGAACTAGTAAAAAGGAGAATTGTGGAAATAAGCCAAAGGGTGCATGAATACAACAACACTACACAGGCATTAATAAATGCAAAATAGTAAGAAGATGGTGGATTTAAACTCAAATGCATAGCAAGTATTTTTAAAAATATAAATGTTCCTTATTTTAAAAAGCAAAAGTTAATGAAAACAGACTCAGCAAATAATATATTATGTAACAGGATAAAAATATGAAAATAAAATAGTGGAATAAATTAAAAATATCCTGGAACTGTTATTCAATACTGGTATGAGTACAACTTATAAGACAGAAAATACTATCATCTACAAATCATCTATAAAAGCAAATCTTTAAACACACTATTTACATGAACTAGATTTCCTCATTAAGAAGGAAAAGTCTTACAAAGTACAGCAGATGTTCCATTCACAAAGAAAGCAATCCTATCTTCTGCTTCTCAATGATACTCCAAGATGGCTGCAACTGAGGAACACTGGGGATTTTGCATAACTTTGAGAAACAAAATTTTATTTATGCCAAATCAAATCATTTTAAGCCCATGCATAAAGTATTTTAGCTGAATACAACTTTTAGGGAATATAATGTTTATGCCTGATGACACATTTATTTATTCAGCATCATGAGGACAAAATAGGAAGTGTTACTCATTCTTCAAAGAGTGGTGAAAATGTATGTGATAACTAGGGGGAGAATCACAAAAATACCTTTAGAAATAGAATTAGATGGTTTTCTAAAACAAAGTATCCAGATTCTCACCAAATCAACCACATCTCATAGAACAAAGCTGTTCCATGTCAATGTTTCATTTTTTTGTGGTGCATTGTGTATGTTGTGTTGTGTTGTGTTTTAGGATTCAGGATCTCACTGAATCCCAGGCTGAACTTGAACTCACAATCCTCATGCCTCTGCTTTCCAAGTGTCTGAATTACAGGTGTTAGCCAGTTTGCAAGACACTACTAATGCCTTTAACCAAATATAATATCATCTGCTGTCCAAATTTCATGAATAGAAAATGCATATCATTGTCCTAAAAAAGGACAGTAATCTTAAGACAAAATGTATAGTGCAGCTGCAGAATGGTGTCATGCTGATATAATAATGACCATTAATATTTAAAATCACTCTTTTGGTACCAAAAGTTAATGTAAGTATTAAATCATTTACCAATAATTTGAGTGTTGATGAGTTTTCAAAAAGTAATTTGTTTTCTATTAAAAATAACACAGTTTCATTTAAAGTCATTTAATTTACTGAATTAAGACATAATTAACTAAATATGTCTTAATTCAGTATAAATTTAAAATAACAGCTTGAAGGCGAGTTTATATTTTTTTACTTGGAGTAGAACAAATACATGTACATCTGAGTTATCTACAAGATTGGTCCTAATTTCAAAAGATAATTTCTCTTTGATAGTTTTGTAAAAGCAAAGAGAATTTGAGAGAATACATTGAGTTGAAAACCTCCTAGTTGGTTAGAATTTACAACATGTTCGCTGATTCAAAAATAATAACAATTGTATTCAGTATGGGGGATATAGTCTTATTCTACCCATAGTTAACTTTCTACACCAGAGGTTTTTCATTGCATGTTTCATCTCTGAATTTCTCAAGGTGTATATTAAAGGATTCAACATAGGAGTGATAACTGTAAAAATCACACTTATGGATTTATCAATGTGAAGGTTGGAAACACTTCTAACATACATGAAAATACAGGGAACAAAACAGAGGACAACCACTGTGAGGTGTGAGCTGCATGTTGATAGGGCTTTGCGCCTCCCTTCCAGACTGTGGGTTTTCAGAGAGGTCAGGATGATACCATAGGAAATTAGGAGAAGGATAAAGACCACCATACAAATCGCTCCACCATTGGCAACCATGGTGAGCCCTATGAAGTAGGTTTCTGTGCAAGCAAGTTCCAACAATGGGTACATGTCACAGATGAAGTGATCAATTACATTGGGCCCTCAGAAAGGGAGATGATAAACAAAGATTATTTGCACAACAGAGTGTGCAAAACCTCCAACCCAGGCCACCACCAACACAAGGATGCAAAATCGTCTATTCATGATGGTCAAATAGTGCAGTGGCTTACAGATAGCCACATAAAGATCATAAGCCATCATCACCAGAAGAAAAACTTCAGCACCACCAAAAAAGTGTGCTATAAAGAGCTGGCCCATGCAAGCTGGGAAGGAAATAGTTTTTTTCTCAAAGAGTAAATCTATGATCATCTTGGGTGAAATGGCAGTGGAATACACGGCATCCATGAGTGACAGATAGGCAAGGAAGAAGTACATTGGGGAACCCAAAGAGGGGCTGGCAATGACAGTCAACACAATCAGCAGGTTGCCCACCATTGTCACAATGTAGCTGAGTAAAAACAAGACAAATAATCCTTTTTGTCCATCAGCATTGTGAGTAAGACCCAGGAGAACAAATTCTGTGACATTGTTACTCTGTCCCATGTACTCTTCTCTAAAGCTTGATTCAGAGCTCAGGAGAACAGGACCTGCCAGGAAATTGTGAACTTGTGAACAGTATCATGAATCCATTCTGTCATGGAGCACATATTCATCACCATCTTCTACAGTGGTGAATCCATATTAAACACTTAGTATCTATTTAGTTTGTCTTCTGAAAACCCCAATTAATTTTCCCTTAACTATGTTTCTTCAACCCAATTAATTGATTTTGGGGGTACTTAGTAGTTTTGGTTCTTAGTAGATAGTCTATACAGAAGAAGAACCAAACAAGCAACAATTATTTATACAGTTAACAACTCCTTATTAAAATATGTCCTACCTTAGTACAGATGTCAGTGATGAGAAACAGGGAATGTGTTCTTATTTCAACAAAATTATTCTTTACATATGGCAGTCAATTCTATGTAAATAACAGGATAATTAACAGTATTAATTGCAAATAACTTTTTCAATATTATCAGTGTAGTATCAAAAATATATATCCCTTAAATATCTCCCAAATTCAATTGCATTCCACCACACATTAGGTGGCCATTCCATCAAATCTCAAAGAATGTTCAGTCTTTTTAAATTGCTCATTAAAACTTCATACACTGGAGGCGCACGCTCGGCGCTGGGCAAAGACTAAAGGAGGCGGGCCAGATTCGGTGGAGCGTAAAAGGGTCTAGGGGCTGTGGTGCTGCGGCTCTGACCCGCTCCAGACTAGCGGCGACTACGGACTCTCAGTCCCTGAGCTCATTGAGGACCAGGCCGCGAGGCCGTGTCCAGAGTAGCACAAAGAGAATGAAAGAAGTAGATAATCTTGAAAGTACAAAAGAAGAATGGGTTTGTGAAACAGGATCTGACAATCAATCTCTTAGTGATAATCAACAAAGGAATTGTGAATATTTTGTTGATAGCCTTTTTGAGGAAGCTCAGAAGGTTGGTGCCAACTGCTTGTCCCCCACCGAACAAAAGAAACAGGTAGATGTAAGTATAAAATTATGGAAAAACGGATTCACAGTCAATGATGATTTTAGAAGTTATGCTGATGGTGCAAGTCAGCAGTTTCTAAATTCCATCAAAAAGGGTGCTACACCAAAAATTGTTTCAAAAGCAAAAATTATTGAAGCTGAAAATAAAATTACTTTATCTGCTGTTTCACTGAACAACTTGGAACCCATCACTAATATACAGATCTGGTTAGCCAATGGGAAGAGAATTGTCCAGAAATTTAACATTTCTCATAGAGTAAGTCACATCAAAGACTTCATCGAAAAATACCAAGGATCTCAAAGAAGTCCTCCCTTTTCCTTGGCAACAGCTCTTCCTTCCCTCAGATTGCTAGATGACACTCACCCTGGAAGAAGCAGATTTACAGAATGCTGTAATCATTTAGAGACTCAAAAAGACTACTGAACCTTTCAGAAAACTTTCATAGTATTGATTTTTAAGAAACAAAGTAGAAATTTTGGAGAGAAATGGTTGGGAGTGGACATGCAAAAGCAGGAGAAAGATGTCAGATTCATTGGACTTTTGGTTTGAGTGCTATCTAAAAATAATTACGTTAGGAAAGTGACATGACTAGAAACCATTCATACACATGATATTAGCCATTCATACACCATTTTCAAACAGCAGGTATTTATATAAATGTTTGCTGGCTCAGAGTTTTTAAAAAACAATACATTATAATACAGGCAGGTTAAAAGCATCCAGTGTAGAGCTGATGTTGTAGCTCAAGTGGTAAGAACCCCAGTGCCACCAAAAAAAATAAATAAATCAGTATAATTATTTTATAACTTGGATATACTCAAAACCAAAAAAATAAAAATAAATCAGAATTTAAAAATTCACTTCCCCCCCAGGAACCCGAACTTATTCCCAAAAATAGAAATTATTTTTAGCTGATATTTGGGGTTAGCCATTCTTTTGCCACCACCCACTTAGAATCTAATACCTGGCTTGTCACATTGCTAATTTGTAAATATTTTTAAATTAATCACATAAAGTGTGAATTTTCTGTATCACGTATCAGAGGCAACCTGTTTGTATGTTAGAGGATTTTTACATTCTGATGTCACAAAGGAAAACATGCTTTGTAATCAGAACTAGTGAGACTTCAGCATTTCAGTCAGATTAAACCTTCTTGTTTGGAAAAAAAAAAAAAGCTTAAGGAGCTCTTTTGCAAATATCTGTTGAATCACATTAAAAGTGGAGTACACATTGAGTGTGCTGAGAATTAAGTGGCCCATATCAGCAGTTACGCTCAGAGGGTGTTGGATGTATGCTACAAAGCTTTTGGTCTCAAGACCTTATATTTATGTGAGCTATATATAGCAATATTGTATTAGAATTTCTAGGGCTGAAGGCATGACTCAAGCAGTAGACAGCCTGTCTAGCAAGTGTGAAGCCTTGCTCATTACTGCCAAAAAACCCAAAATTCCAAGTTTTAAAATAATTTAATTTCCAAGCCAGGCACAGTAACATGTACCTGAAGTCCTGGCTACATAAGAGGAGGATCATTGAGCCCAGAAGTTAAGAGGCAACATAGTGAGACCCAAGTCACTTAAGAAGCATAAAAAGATTTAGTGAGAAAAGTAGCATTGTATTTCTTTCTCTACAAATACCTTTACTGTCTGACTTAATGAAGAAATGTGGGTTCTCATCTGCTTCTGTTACAATGCCACACATCTTGCAGCATCCAGAGGACACCACTGGCACGTTGATGAGAGAATGTAAAGAGGTACATAAGATTATGAAAAAGTTCTGACATTGTACACCTCTGAATATACCCATGGTTCACAGTGATGCTGAAGCCTTAGTGTAAGAATGAATCACTTGGGAATCTTCAAAAATGCTTGGTCCTCCCACCCACCACAAACACTATCAGTCTTTATATCCAAAATGGGTCCCCAAACGCTGCATTTGGAACTGTGGGTGATTCTTAAGGCTTGGTAGAAGTACCACTCTACTAAGAAGTCCTGTACTAAGCTTCTCTCCAAGAACATAGAGTCTGTATGCTTTACTGTGGACAGTGGAAGACTCCACTGAAGTAGAGCTAGTATGCCTCAGGTTTTGTCCTCATCCCCTACAGTTGACTCTTAGGCTGTCCCCTTCAGCCTGAAGCAATCATGGCATAAACCTGGACTTTGTCTCATAGCACAGATGAGACAGAGCTAAGGCATTCGAGTGAGGTTTTTAGTGAAGGCTCAGGAAAACAAAAGGGAACTGTCCTGCCTTATCCTTCCTGTTTGCAGTCTGTTCTAAGGACTCTTCATGGCTCCCAGCCTTCCACATAGCAAAGGTCTTTTCATTGAGAAGGCAGAGAACTAAGGAGAGCTTTCTCCCTTTGTCCTTTACCCTAGGAAATGAACAGGTATGTAGTAGAAAATAAGTATTTATTGTCAGTAATGTTTACACAGCCATGTCATAATGAATCCTGAAAAATAAAAATGAACTTATCTTTCAGCTGTAGAAAATAACATTGTAAATATGTCTATTAATCTGTAAGAAAATGTTCCATATTATCATGAAGCATTTTTATTTGTATAATTACAATCAATATATGATTCTCTGTGTGTTTCTGTACTGAGCCTCTTTTATGAGAATGTTTTTTATGTACCTACAGAAAAGCCTGCTTTGGGGGTTTTTCAGTTTATAATTAGGTACCCAGAGGACACAATGGAGGTTCTTGTGTATACATGTAGAATACACTCCAGTGAGAGGTTCGTATAGGGAAAGAACTGTCATCAGCAATAACCTTCATTTTTTTTTTAACTGTGAAAACTTTTGTTAATGTGACTAGTATTCTCAAGGGTTTTCTAAGGATAATCATCTGATAAAAGCTTTTTCCTTGAAAGTTTAAGTTGTTTAGTTGTTAATTAAATTGTATAGAATCCTTAATGCGGTTGACTTTGGAAAACAGAAATTGCCAAAGAAAAGAAAATCAGTAAACATCTTCTGTGTGGAATGCAACTTGACATAAACGCTTATTTCAAAACTATCATCAGTTTCTTGAAATAATTAGAGTAGACAATTTAGAAATACATTTCTAATTATACAAGTTCTGAGTTACTGGTTAAATTACTATGCATTATCAAAGTTCAAAAATCTCAGTCAGTATACTTTTCTTGATGCTTTAGTGTATTGATAATTTGGTAAATATGCATTTATTTCAGTGCCTTAAAGTATTTTGAGTGCAATATTTTACAAATGGTTAACAGAACTGTTCTCTCAAGGATGAAATACTGTTTGTTGAAAGGATCTATGAAATAACTTACACTTGTAAAATAGTTACATGTGAATGCATTTGTTTTTGTTTGACAAAGTCATTCAGTTTGAGAATTAAAGAATTTTAGATGCCTTTGCTTTAAAAAAAAAAAACTTCATACACTGGACTTTGAATGTTATCATCAGATAACTACCAATTGTTTAGCACATTACCACCTGGAGCAGCTACTGCTTATAACTCTATCAGCTTTCTTAAGCTCGATAACTCTGTCTACTACATCTTTGCTTGTACCAAATTCACAATGTACAAAAAGTCAATAGTCCTATTTTTAGCAAATATTTTAAATAAAGTGCACAAATCATGACTATTAACAATTACTTTTCTTTTTATATTATGTGGGTTAGCTAATGAATGGTGTGGCAGAGTTAAACTATAAGATTTTCTATGTCTTAGTGCTCAAAACTGCAACTTTAGTTCTAATTTAGTTTGTGTCATTTTAAAGGTAATCAGAATATGCCTCCAATTACACATGGAAAGATGAAGGGATTGAATGAGATTATTTCAGAATCCTATTAAAACTATCTACAACAAAATTAGTGCAGCACTACATTGTTCTATTCTGTTGACTTTTTTTTTTCATTTTTCCTACTTTATAATCAAATATCAATTTCCAAGTTGATTACTGCTCCTTTAAAAACACCAGCCAATAATAAATGGGATGTGATGACTCCAGTGATCAAGTAACAGTGCTGCTTCTCAGTCATTGTATACTGAGATAGGCCCCAGCCATTCCTGGAGGGAAAGAGCACCACAGTTGTGTGAGCTCTGGAGCCACACTGCTTGAGTTGCAATCCCGCATTCATTTCTTCACTATGTATATGACCTTAAACAAATCAATAAACTTCCATTTGATATTTAGGATTTTTGCCATAGAGACACCAGTAGTATCTACAATTTAGAGCTATTTTTTAATTATAGGTAAAGTGCTTAGAACAGTGCTGGGAAACTGGTAAAATCTAAATAAATGATAACTATTATTAGTATTTTAAATATTTCATTATGTGCACTTGATCAGAATAAATCATCAGGATCATGGTCAACTTAGTAAGAATTATAAATATGCTTCAGTATAACAAGAATACTATAATTGTAACTCACATAGTCCTTTTGGGACATAATATACAATTTCATCTATTGGGAAATATACAATTTTATTAAATGTTAGTCAGAGTAGTATTTACCTATAAAGAAATTTATCTTGACTACAAGCTAGCAAGAATATTCCTTACATAGGGATTTGTTAGTGGAGGAGTATAAGTGCAGAGAGCTTGAGATTTCTTTCGAAGCCAGCTGTGATGAATATCCTATGACTCAGAAGATTGTACATTCTCAAAGCTGAAGACTGATGAAGGCACAACCTGTGGAAGAACATAAGACTGCAACATAGTTTGTATCCAATTCACTTTGTGTTATATCATACTTTCTGCAATGTTTATTCCCCTCAATCACTAATGTTGGTTTTGATCAAAATGCATACCTTATTAGGAAGCTTGAGTATTTATATATCAGAGTGAAAACTGAGTATTTAAGCCATAGTACATAATCTAAGAGTTTAATACATAAAAAACGGATGAATATTATTACTAAACTTTCAATAAAAATCATTAAGCTCATAATTTTTCTACAAAAAGTATAGGTCCTCAACAACACAATTTTTCAAAACGTAACACAATAATAACAAAAATACTACACATAGCACTATACAATAATAATTTTATGAGTATCCTTAGGTAAGAATAGATGACATACCATACATCCCATCATGGTTTCCAATATGTATACATACTAAAAGTTTTGCTGGAATCATTTTAAGATCCTACATGAAATTCCATATAAGCTTCTAGGACATAATATACAGTTGTTCCTTTACATTTTATCACTCTTGTTATGTCATGTAATTATTAATTTTATATTTTAAATATCTATGGAGAAATTATATAGCTTTATTAACACATTATGCAAATGTTATAGACAAAAGTTCATTCATTTATTTGTTAAATGTGTGACATGCATTATCTGTTATTTGGCCAAAGATAAAATAAACACCTATCAAGTGTAATACCAAAACCAAGTATATTTTGCATGTTCTATTTAATTTCTGTTTCACAGCCTTCATGAGCCCAAT